AAAACAAAATGTGTTTTATTAAAGTCCAATGTTATATAATAAATGATACACAATTTTTATTTGTGAACAGTGTTCTGTGTTAATTGTGTTAATTCATGCTGTGTTACTTCACGTATGGTAATTTTAGCTGACAGGGACCTGTTTTAGCCATTTATAACATTTTAAATTGATTTTTTTAAAAATACTAAAAAAATGAATGAATTAATAACAAATTAACAGTGATTAACCAAACAAGTTGATTTTGTAATTTTCAGGCAGCATTTAATTGTTAAAAAACTTTCTTTCTTTTTTTATTGATCTGATGTTTATACATTAATATTAGCACTAATGTTTCTAAACTCTGCATCAGCTCCAGCCAGCATGGCCAATGGTTAGTGGGGATCAGAGTTGGAATTCCACAGCAGCTCATGGACAACAGGTTCCTCGTGTGTATTTATGAATAGATACGTGGGATTTAAGTTTATAATAGTTTCAAGGGAGCCTGCTTCCAGATAAAACGTGTATAATAATTGTATGCCATCAAATTCCCTTTTTCTAAGGGTGCTCTGCAAACAAGTGGGTTGCCCAAGACTACGTACCCAGATTGGCTTTTTTCCTATAAGGCATGCTGTGGAATCAAACTGCTAACACTCACTGCACTATAAACTTTTAAATGGAGTAATTACCATATTTTTTCATGTATAAGATGCCCCCATGTATAAGACGCCCCCACTTTTCTCATCCAAAATTAAGAATAAGTGGGGCTTAGCAAGTATAGGGGGAAAGGGATCGAAGTGCTGCAGGATCACTTTGATCCCTGCTTTCCCCTCCACTTGTTTTTGTTCTCTCCTCTGCTTACTTCCATGTATAAGATGACCCTCAATTTTTAGTCTAAAGATTTTAGACAAAAGTATAGTCTTATACATGGAAAAACATGGTAAACCTCCATTTATAGTTTAGACCCTACTGGAAGTCACCTTTTGGTTTGTCCATCTAATACAGCATTCTTTACTTTGTTACTTCCCGGGTCTCGGGCAGAGGTCTTTCCCATGATGTCCCTGAATCTTTTTGATGGGAGATGCCAGAGATCAAATCACTGCCTGTGAAATAGGTACTAATGACCTCTTCACAGGTGTTTAGGCATACACTTTAAACATTTTTAAAGTATATTCATCTGTTCTGTATATCTGTCTATAGACCATGAAGCTAGTGAATACCAGAAGTGCCCCCAATGGCATAGCTACAGATATTCAGGCAGACCAGGAGGTGGGAGGCATCCAGCCAGCACAGCAGGGAATGATGACATTTGGTGGCAGTCCATGGGAGGCGGAACTGTACTTGGATACTCAATTTCTGCCTGACTGGTATGTCAGCTGGTGCTGTTGCACTCCCAAGCCACTTTGCAGTAACCAGGGATCACTTTATGCTATGAGGTCTGGGTGAATGGGTACAGTGTAGAACTGCTTATGCAACCAGATGTTGGAGGTGTGCTTTGCCCCAATAACATCCTGACCATAGTGTGTTTGAATCAACAGACCTGTGTTTTGAAATAAGTTTGTCCTGAAGTTCTCATTTTTTATGGTCTCATATAGGGACAGCCCTGGTATGGATTTTGTAAGGGGTGACCCCTTGCTGAATAAGGCCAGACCAAATTCTCTTCTGTCTTCCATACCTGACCCAACCTAAGGTCCACAATGCAGTATCCAAAGTCAGCCAGATTATTTGGACACACGGAGCAGGAAAAGCCACCTCTCCCCTTCCATTCCCTGGCAGTGAAAAAATAAAATATCAACAAAATATATCACAAACAATTTCACAGCCCAAAAATGCTGCTTAAAGCATTGGTGATACACTGTCTACTAGCAGGGATAGTCCTCTTGCAGGATACAGCTTGGCTTCCAACTCTCACACATTGTTGTGTGACTAGTAAGCAAGCTCCTAACCTCACTTCTACATTAAACATCTAAGCTTACCTTGAAAGACACAGCAGATGGGTTAGGTAATACCAGGCACCACCATTTTCCTAGAGAGTAGTGCACCCTTAGGTATGCTCATGGTACAGTTTTCACTTCCCTAATCGCAGGGCCTCTGAAGGATGTTTTCAAATTACGCAAAGTATGGAAAAGCTACTTTTGAACTACTGGGATTTTGAGGGTTGCCGTCCAAAAAAATGTAACTTTTCCAAAGTTTGGAAAATTATGACTACTCACTCAAATGGCCATCCAATGGGAGCTAAAGCTTGGTCTCCATATATTCTCTGGTTTTTTGTTTGTTTTGTTTTTTATTATTATTATTCTTTCATAGATAAGTTCCCTGCTGAAAACTGCTAAGCACTCATTTGCTTGGCATTAAAGAGGGCAGAGCTTGGCACAGAAAAGTTTAGCGGCTGTAAAACTGGAGTGTGAATGAGAGTTTGTTTTTCTTTGAGACCAAATAGGGTCATGCTGTATTTTCATCTTGGGTAGTCGCTGGCTGCATCTTTATTTAAGAGGTGCCCACTACACAGGCCCTTTGAGCAGGGTCAGATTAATGAATAGTCAGGAACGAGAGAGCTGGTGTGTGTGGCTGTTGATCCGATTCGTAATATACGCATATTGACTTCCATTTTCTGCCTCTTTTCTTGGGGGTTTCACAGTTACTCTACTGTATATCAACACTGGCCGGGCAGCAGAAAAGCTGTCATTCTATTAGGATCAGCAATACAAACAAGGTTTCTTAGCATAAGCCTGCTAAGGAACTTTAAATCCTTTCGCCCCCAAGGTTTCTGGCTTTTATTTTTCTCTCTCAGAAGCATTGGCAACCAGCTGATTTTGAAAAGGAAGTTTTTGTGTCTGTATTCTATAGCTTGTGTAGACAGTGTCTAGGATAGTCATCTTGGACTAAGAAGCAGAGCTTGGAAAAAAAATATATTTTTGGTCTAGAACTCCCAGAATTTCTCAGCCAGCATGATTGGTACTTTTACTTACTTTTATGAAAGCCATCTGTATGTTACAAGATGCTAACGTGCAGCACAAAACACACTCCTGTCCACAACAAAGCACAAGGTAACAGCATGAGCCAGCACTTCTACCCAGTGCTATCCTTCCTCTACGAGTTAGTGAGGATACACCTCCATAACTAAAGCAGTTCTAAAAATTACAGTTACATCTCAAAATGAATAGTTGTTCCTCGCTTATTTGCTATACTTGTTACTAGAAAAGAGTTTTAATTATAAGTAACTTGATTATTTATAACTTGTTCCTTCCAAGCACTGTTCCATTGCTATAATCAAAGCCAACTGAAGCAGAAAATATTTTATTCCTTGTGGAATAGACCATGCAAGGCCAGATGCTCATCTGACATGAATAGGAAGGGTTTTTAAGAAAATCAAGGCTGTAAATTATTCCTGCGTAAATCTTTCAGATGAAACGCTATTGAAATCATCCTAGAGACTCTGCTGTCTTATATTAGCTGGAGTGTGGGCCTTTCAAGCTTTTATTTTGGAGACTTACTTAAGGGTGTGTATTTGAAATGAGCGAAAGAACTTTGAATTTTTATTTAAAGGTACTACCAGATATATCAATAGAATTAATCTCAACTAATTTTCTGTAAACTCAAGAAAAAGATGTTTTACAAATTTAATGATATAACGACAGTTAGTACTCACAGGTTGTTATGCTTACCTTGGAGTAAGCCCTATTGAACAAGATGGAAATTGCCTTTGAGGAAATATGGCTAGGAGTATGCTGTTAAAATGTCTTATAGTTCTCCGTTGTATGCCTTAGTTTTTGCAGTTGATGCAATCGCAATGGTAGTACAGTACACATCACACACATATTTTGTTCTATATACTCAAGTTTCTGTCATCCCTCCATTCTTTTTGAGAAAGACTTATGTGTGAGCAAAATACTTATATGTTCAAAAACCTAAACCGACCCAATATCTACCCAGCACTGGATCTCCTAAATCAGAAATGATGGGCCTGTTGCCCTCCAGAAATTGAGCAACATATGGAAGGCCATAGACTTTCCATCCTTGCTCCAAACCACACCTCATTAGGTAGTCTGCAGGGAACTGTTCTTAAGCACCAATTGCTGTTGTTTAGTCATTTAGTCATGTCCGACTCTTCTTCGTGACCCCATGGACCAGAGCATGCTAGGCCCTCCTATCTTCCACTGCCTCCCGGAGTTTGGTCAAATTCATGTTGCTAAGCACCAGTAGTAAAAAGTAATTGTGGCTTTAATTTATCCATTTTGTATAGTTGCAGGAAAGTCCAGTTTAGTGAATTCTCTCACTGTTAACTTTGGGGATTGGTACTACATGTTAAAGATTGTTATTCCCATAAATTATGGTGTTTTGTGTCTTCTGAGGGCACTTTATGGAAGATGAAGCAAATTAATAAAATCAGGGCCACAGATGATGACAAGTGAGGGCAATTTAGTCTCCTTCTTCATAACCGCAGCCGCAGGCCTTTGCCAGCCAGTCCTTTCTCCATACAGAGTTCAAATTTATTCCTTGCTTGCTTTTCCACCCTTAGATAAATATTTCCAAGCGCCATGTTCTCTGTCTCTCTTTCTCTCTCCGTCTACCTCTCCCCATGTGTATGTGTGCGCATACACCTTAGGGAAAGGTGCTTTTGCTGCCATTCCTGGTGGTGGAAATGATACCAAGCGCAGATTCCACCAAGCTCTGTCGAGTCTGATTTGCGTCAGGAGCCCAGCATTCCTTGGTGCTTCCTATAATCTCTCCGAGTTCAAAGAGTCCTCGGTTGCTTGTCTTTGTCAAAAACCCGGTTGGAGATCTTTTATGTCGAAGATGTAGGATTTCTCCAAATGACTTTGATTATTTATTCATTCCACTTCTCTGGTGTACTCCAGCTCTGCTCTATCACGAAAGACCCCCTTGTCTGGCTCTGCGCTTGCTCTGAAAGGCAGGGAGCTTTAGTGCCTTTGAAAACTCTGTGTGTGTTTGTAATAAAATGAAGAAGAGTGTGGATTTAAATTTTTTAAAAAAATCCCCACACACTTTTTTGTCATCCACAGTTCCGCAGCATATTTTTCCAGCCTTCCATTCTCCTCTGCCAATTGACATGCGTCATCAAGAAGGAAGATACCATTATGAACCTCACTCCATCCATGCTATTCATGGGTAAGTTTTTTGCAAATTTGTCTCCTCCTTCCTGTGCTTTATTTTAATGATAGGGGAATGGACAAAATCTGCTCCAGTGTATATATGTTACAGGCACAGCCTTTCCATAAGCATAACCAACTCCTTCTATTTCTGGCTTCACTAGAAACCATTAATCTTTTCTTTATGCAAGTCTCCTCAGGGACATGTGGCGGAAGTATGGTCACTCTCAAATTACAGAAATCACAGCAGTCTATATTTTTGTACATGGCTTGTCATTTGGCTGTGTAAACAGGTCTGTCACTCTGTGGAGAATCCTTAGTTGAGAAAGCACACCATACATGTGAAGAAATTATTTCTAGGTATTTGACACAGCATACCAAGAATATCATCTTTGTTTTACTTCCTTTAAGAAAGAAAGGTTCCTAGCCCATAGTACTGCAAGAGAATGAATATTTGTAGGTAGTAAGACCTCATGGGCTGGGCCTCACTGAATTTAGAGGCACCAGGAAGGCCAGGCCTTCATTGTTCTGTGTATCTCCTTGTTCCTTCCACAGTTTAATGGAAGCAAAGGAATGTATAAATATGCACCTATATGCAGCTGAACTACAGTCCTGTTGTTCAGAAAGTGGTGGATTTGGCTGAGAGAAAAAGAATGACCTTCAATTCAATAGGACACAAAAGAAATAGTGTTATCAGAAAGTTGTCCCACAAGGTATTCCCATTTGAAGATGGACTTTATGGTTCACCACTGTGGCTAAACTGCATGTATTCTGTACTTTGAAAAAAAAAACTTCCACAATTTTTCATAAAGGCAATCAGCATTCTGCTCCAAGAGATGCAGAATTCTATAACCTGCATTATTCAGCCTGACCATATGTGCCTAATTAATATATTTTATGCACAATATATTCTGTTGTTGTGTTTTTGCTTTGTTTTGTTTTTGTTCCTGCTTTTTAATAAAAGTTTTCCAAATTTTACTCTGGATTTGGTGAGATGAAGAACAATTATGTTGGATGGATGTAGGCAGTCTTGAGGGCTTAAGGCTGAATACATGAAGGATATTGAATTTCACTGTTAGTCGTTAGTCTTTTCTCAGATATAAGCCCTACTGAATTCAATAGTATTATGTTCCTTGATAAATGTACATACAATTGTAGTCTTGGTCAGCTATCTCTCTAGGTTTTGCAAGCCTACTTTTTCAACTATGAAAGCCATACATTTGCTTCCCTTAAGAAAGAGAGAGAAAGAAAAAATCGTATTGATGAAAGCTAAGGGCTAAGTTATGTGTTACACTGAATACACAGTGAACAAATCTGCCTCACATTGTACACAGCTGGTGAAGATTTAAACCTCCCCGCCACCACCCGCAGCCATTTTTCCACTTAATTCATCAAACTAGTGTGCTCACATGCAGTCTTTTAGTGAGGACAATCCTCCATTTAAAGGACTGCCTGTTTTCCTTTTGAAGATGTCGTCTGTTTGCACCTCTATATGCTGTTTGATCTCTAAATAAAATATATTGAGGAGAGATGACTTTAAGTGGCCCTTCCACACATCAGATGACTTTAAGTGGCCCTTCCACACATAGCAGAACCCAGATAAGAACTTCAACAGGCACACAAGTTGTTTATTCATTATCTCTCCCATGTTGTTGAGATTTATTGTAGTTCTATTTACATAATAAAAATCATCTCTAATTTTTCACCCGGAGTCTCATGGCACAGTGGTTAAACTGCAGTCCTGCAACCAAAACTCTGCTCACGGCTCAGGTTCAATCCCAGGTAGCTGGCTCAAGGTTCACTCAGCTTTCCATCCTCCCAAGGTTGGTAAATTGAATACCCAGATTGCTGGGGGGAGACAATGTATAGCCTGCATAATTAAATTGTAAACCACCCAGAAAGTGCTTTAAGCACTATGGGATGGTATATAAGCAGCATGCTCTTTTTTAGCTGTACCTGTAAATTAGTATATGCAACTTTATGCAGATCAAGACACACTTTTGCCCTCCTTTTTGAGGATGTGCAAACAGCCATCATGTTCACCACTCATCATGTTGTTGTTTAGTCGTTAAGTCATGTCCGACTCTTTATGACCCCATGGACCAGAGCCCACCAGGCCCTCCTGTCTTCCACTGCCTCCCGGAGTTTGGTCAAATCCCTTCATGGATTGCTGCCTTGTCATGGTGAAGGGGCTTGAGCAATTCAGAGAAGCTATGGGCTATGCCGTGCAGGGACACCCAAGATGGACAGGTCAGAGTGGAGAGTTCTGACTAAATGCAATCCACCTGGAGCAGGAACTGGCAAGCCACTCCAGTATCTTTGCCAATAAAACCCCAAGAACAGAAACTCATCAGGTACAGGCCTGGTTTTTTTTAAGGAAGCAGCCCCATTGATANTAAAACCCCATGAACAGAAACTCATCATGTACAGGCCTGGTTTTTTTTTAAGGAAGCAGCCCCATTGATA